TTCTGCTGTGGGGAGTCCGGAAGCGTGAAGGTCTGCTCGATGCCCTCTGCCTGACAGAAGGTCCTCAGAAGATCGGAGGAAAACTCACCACCTCTGTCAGAGTGCAGACGCAGGACAGGAAGATCCGTCCGGAAACGGCGGCGGAGCTGGAGACGAACCGTGCGGATCCAAGGGATCAGAACAGCAGGGACCTCACCCTTGGTGCGCAAGGGGAAGACCGTGGTGTAACGCGAGTAGTCGTCAACAACCAGCAGAAAGTACCGCTCACCGCCCTGACCACGAACGCGGGCTGGGCCCCACACGTCCAGGTGGAGGGTCTCCAGAGGAGCCTCTGTCGGGGGGAACGAGGAGGAGTGAGGAGCGTCGCGCTGCCGCCCCTCGACGCAAGGAAGGCAAGGCGGCGCAGGCGAGGCAGGGAGGGGAGGGAGGGACCTGGGAAGACCGGACACAAGGAGGCGACGGTGCATGCCACGAAGGCGTGGCAAGGAGGGGTGACCCAGGCGGTGGTGCCAGAGAAGAGTCTGGTGCGACAGGGAACGACACTCACAGGCGTGGGCCACCAGACCTGACGCAGACACCTGACCGACAGCAGCTACCTGGGGAGACGCAGTGGTCAGTGTGTAGAGACTCGACCCCGGCCGACGGGTGAACGTAGCCAGGTGACGGCCAGTCCTGGAGCACGTGCAGATCGCCACACGCTGTCCGCCAGGGGTAAAGGTGTCAACCCACTGATCCTGGAGGACAGCGTTGCTCACCAGGTTCGTCGAGAACGAGGGGAGGTGGAAACCCGACAACGAGCCAGACGGAACCGCCGGACAAGGGAGGACAGTGGTGGACTGGGCAAGGACTGGGCCCCCAGAGGGGTCAGCCAAGGAGACTGGGACCGGTGCAGGAAGCGGTGTGAGCTCAGTACTGTCACGAAAGAAGCAACGGGAAGCACCTGAGTCAAGGGTGAAGGTGTGACAGGCCTCAGCCGGTGCGGTACCTGAGAGAGCAGTCTCTGTGGGTGCTGTACCTGAGAGAGCAGACTCGAAACCAGCCGGGACAGTACTGGAGGGAGCAAGTACAGGGGGCACCATACCAGAGAGAGCAGACTCACTAGTACCCAGGGCAGCGGGCTCTATACCTGGGTCAGGCGGCACACACAAGTAACAGTCTCCCTCGGCACTAACAGTCAATGCATACATGGCAGCAATAATAGCATCATAGTCAAGAGCAAAGACATCAACACCAGCCCTCATGAGCTCAGCCCAGCGGGGGCGCTCAACATCCGCACCCATCTCCTCACGCCAAGCGTCGTCAAGGCGGGAGAAGCAGCGGTACGGGGTGTGGAACCTCCCACACGTCTGTCCCTTGCGGTCACCTGTGCGAATGACATAAGAACAGCGGCCACTGCCCCCCGACGTCCCACGCTGAGCAAGCCACTCACGAAGCTGCTGGGTCGTCTGGGGACGCTGCTGCTGCTGGGAGCTCTGGCCCGAGCCAGTGCCTCCACTCCGACCTCCGCCGCCACCACTACCACCGCTCCGACCGCCACCGCCACCACCGCCACCACCGCCACCACCGCCACCGCCGCCACCGCCGCCGCCGCCACTACTGCCACTGCTTCCTCCGCCGCCCCCGCCTCCACCACCGACCCCACTCCCACCAGCGCTCCCGCCACCGCTCCCTCCAGCACCGCCTCCCCCCCCACCTCCCCCACCTCCTCCCCCCCCAGCGCCACCACCACCACCCTTGCCCCCCTTGCCCTTGCCGGTGCGGCGCCTCCCACCAGGAGCAGAAGCAGCGCCAACAGACTCAGCACCAAGGAAGTCAACAGCAGCAGCAGCAGCGTAGGAGGGAGCGAGGGGAGAGGGAGAACACCCCTCAAAGATGGGGGTGCGAGGAGCGCCACGAGCAGCACCGACAGCTACAATGCTCTTTTCGGCCGCGAGCAGCTGCTCCTCTAGGAGGGCGACTGTGAGCTCAGTGGGACAGCGAGCAAGGAAGTGGTCTCGAACTGAGCGGAGGGTGTCAGGGAGACGGGTGACTATGAAGTGGAGTGTCCAGTACAGTGGAGGGGGGTTCTTAGCGCAGAACTCGGTGGGAAGGGCGGCACGCAGGCGAGCATCACTAGTGCGAAGGTGGGTGATAAGATCGGCGACTGTAGTAAAGGTGGACAGATCGGGGAACAGGTACGGCAGCATGAGGCGGCTAAGCTCGGCTGTGGCAGGCGAGGAGTAGCGAGCAACGACAGCATCGTACAGGGCCTTAGCGGATTTGCAGTCGCCAAAATGCTCGAGCTCAGCTAGCGGCAGGTGACTGCGAATGGCTAGGCGAGCAGCTGCGTCACGAGTCTGCCAGTGGGAACGAACACTAAGCTCGGCTGTGGCAGCAGGAGCAGCGGCAGCACCAGACGCGTAGTCATAGAGGGAGATGTGGTCCGTGCTATTGCTCATAAGATACAACTGCAGGTCGTCGAGCCAGGAAGTGAACTGCACGGGACGGCCCTCAGCATCGAAGGAAAGAACGCGAATAGAGGCCATAGCTCAGGCGTGAGGGCACAGCAGAGCAGCGGCAGCAGCAGAGGGGACGCGCTAGAGCGAAGCTAGCAGCCACAGCAGGAGCAAGCGGCGGTGCACAGGCAGGGAGCAGCAGGCGAGAAGCGTGGCGGGCGGGCTGCGAAGCGGGCAGCGGGGCGGGCGGGCGACGCAGCAAGCGGGCAGTGAGGCAGCGGGCGGCGCTGCGAAGCAGGTAGCGGGCGGGCGGGCGGCGCTGCGAGCGGGCAGCGAAGCGGGCGGGCCGCGAAGCGGGCAGCGAGCGGGCGGGCGGGCTGCGAAGCGGGCAGCGGGGCGAGCGGGCTGCGAAGCGGGCGGGCCGCGAAGCGGGCAGCGAGCGGGCGGGCGGGCTGCGAAGCGGGCGGGCCGCGAAGCGGGCAGCGAGCGAGCGGGCTGCGAAGCGGGCGGGCCGCGAAGCGGGCAGCGAGCGGGCGGGCGGGCTGCGAAGCGGGCAGCGGGGCGAGCGGGCTGCGAAGCGGGCGGGCCGCGAAGCGGGCAGCGAGCGGGCGGGCGGGCTGCGAAGCGGGCGGGCCGCGAAGCGGGCAGCGAGCGGGCGGGCGGGCTGCGAAGCGGGCAGCGGGACGAGCGGGCTGCGAGCGGGCGGCTCGGCGGGCGGGCGACACTGCGAGGGGCGCGCGAGGGCGCTAGTGAGGGGCGCGCGAGGGCGCTAACGAGGGGCGCGCGAGGGCGCTAACGAGGGTGCGCGCGAGGGCGCTAACGAGGGGCGCGCGAGGGCGCTAACGAGGGCGCACGAGGGCGCTACGAGGCTAGGGCACGGGGTAGCGTGGTAACCGCATGCGAGCGGTGGTGGGCCCTTAAAAAAAACGGTCGGTAGGTCCTAGGGACCTCCTGCTCTGAATACCATCTCAAGATAACTAGGCAAGAATGAATGAAACCCTAGTTGGGGTTGTACCCCATATTGGCTACCCCACTACAGCCTACAAGCATAATACAGTTTAACAGAGACTAGCAGGAAGAGTTTGAAATCGAATTATTGGGATTTAGTAAAAACAACTAGATTAGAAACTCATATCTTCACCAAACAACAAAAAACGTGACTAAGGGAATAGAATAATATCTCAACTGACACATGGGGCAATAGTAGATTAAGAGGAGTTGAATGATGGAGCTAATTAACTAGATAGGTACCTTGAAGGTCTTGAATGTGTTGAGCTTGGTGTGAAGAAGAACAATAGAAGAAGCTCTAAGGAAATCTTGAGTTTGGTGTGAGTAAGAGAAGGATGGAAAAGAAAGGGAGAAAGAGCTAGGTAATGGTTTTGAAGGGAGAAGTGGAAGAGCCTTTCTTGATTGGACACAATGTTGACCAATGGTAAGGTAATTGTTACTGTGCACTTGAGACAAAAAAAACAGTTGGAAGCATTGAGCTAAAACAAAAACAACCAAATGAAAAATGTTGCTTTTCTTGTTTCTAGTTCATAGTCCGAAACAGCTTGTTGCCAAATTACAGTTGTAAAACTGTTTCTTCTGTTTTCTACTTGAAAATCGTTTTCATTTGACAGTTACAACCGGAAAATAGGACAAAAGCAGAGCAGACGAATGACAACTTTCAAAACAAAAAACAAAAACGTCAGCTGGCGTTTTACAGTTACAACCAGAATGAGCACTTACGACAACAAGAACAACGTGAAACAAAGGACCAAAGGTTCTGTTTCACGAAACCCCCGTTTCTACCCCCCCCCCCCCCCCCCCCCCCCCCCCCCCCCCCCCCCCCCCCCCACCACATTTCACGCGCGAGAAATTCTGGTGACGTTCTTCCCCCCCCTCTTCTCCCCCCTCCACATTTCACGCGCGAGAAAAACAGCAGAGAGAATGCTTGATTTGATTTCGGGCGACGCTGCTGACGTCAGCAGATTTTCTCGCGCGAGAATTAATGTCTGACGTCAGCAGCGAATTTCGAAATTTCGCGCAGATTTCGAAGCTGACGCCAGCAGAAAAAATCGAAATTTCGCGCGAATTACCTGACGCTGATGACGTCACCGAAACGAAGCTGACATCAGCAATTCGAAATTTGAAATAACGTTCAAATAATACATCAACAAACATTCTAGAACTGTAAACATAGAAATGAAACCTAGAACTACTCATGTAAACGTTCTTATTGATGTAGAAAAATCAAGTCTACAACATATACCAAGTAAATACTGAGTAAACATTAACAGCTTCAACTCAACATTCACATAAAAAACATACCGGTTAAGAAGGCACAAATATTCCTAATTTAAATATGACGATGTAATCAACGTCTTTCAAAAAATTTAGAAAGTTACAATTGTTGCTTCGCAACCCTAAGACGATTTTGTCGCCTCTTGTTGTTGTTTTTTTTTTTTTTTTTTTTTTTTTGAAGTGAAAGCTTACACAATACTGTACAAGCAAAACACTTCAGTCGTAACTGATTAACTGGGATTAGGCTGGCGAAAAGATCGCCTGGCCCTCCCCACAGCTTTACGGTGGCTTCACGAAGGTTCTCGGGTTCGACCAGATGGACTGGAAACCGCCTTGCCACTTCAGCCCCACCACCTCGCTGACACATATCCGCCGCATGACACGTGCCTCATCCTCCGCCAAGTTCCACCTCGCCTTATCTTTTCGTGCCCTCCTTCTTGGCGTGCCACAGTAGATTCTTGCATGCTTGTTGAATTCGACGTTGATCCTCCTGAGCACCTTCCGTGCCTGAAACCTTTTCACCTTTCGGAGCGACACATCACACCTTCCCAACCAAACCTGATGTAACGCCACTGCCACCATTGTAGCCTCGGGAAATCCAGACTTCGTCTCCTCCTCTCCGAACACAAAATCTGCCAGCCTGTCAGCCCGCCTTGCTGGCTGCATCATGCTGAGCGCCGACTTGACAGCATTAACCACTGGCACCACACTCCTGCATTCCAGCAAACAGTGCTCCAGCGTTTCTTCCAACCCACAGTTCGGGCATGCCACCCCGCCCTTCACAAACGGAACCCTCTCCCCCACTTGCAAGTTGAGGTTGTGCACCCGTAGGAGCACATCTCTCGCCTTGGCTGGAACCACCAACGAGTCCCGGACCTTCCTGCTCCTCTCCCAGTCAATCTTTCTGCCAGCCCGAGCCTCCCAGCACGACCTCTTCCCTTCCACCACCTCCACCCCCTTGCTCGGCTCCCTGAGTCCTCTTACTGGGACCACCACCTCTTCCTTGAATAGTGATGAACTAAGCAGCCGGGCCCTAGGGTCCCCAGCCTCCCGTACCGCCCGCGCTTGAGATAGTTTCACCAGTAACACACTATCACAGCACAGCACCAGCCTTACGTCCCACGGCGTTCGCTCTCCTCTGCCGCTGAGACCCCGAAGCTCCACCTTCCTGCCCATCTCCCAGAGGCACCTTTGCCCACCTGGTAGCCTGGTGCACACCACCGGTGACTCTGCCGCAACCTCCTCTGCTGTTAACGGCGCCAAAACCCACTGCCGCCACCGCTCTGGTGCCGCGTTGAAAGCCTTCAGCGCCATCTCCGCCTCCTTGCTTCCGCCCAGCTCCCTCACCAACGTCGCTTCCGGCTTAAGCGTCCTGGTGCCATCCCATTTCCTCAGAACCATGTCCCGCATACGCCATGATCTCAGCCGTTCAGTGCCCTTTTGTCCACCGAACGGTGCATTACCGCGATGAATGATGCATCTGTTGTAATAGAGAAACTCCTCTTCTGCTTCCCACCTAGATGCCGCCTCTGGTACCGTTACCACCGTCGACTTTAAAAAAGTTTTGCACAGCCGTGCCCACCTCCTGCTTTTAAACAAGCCTCCTCTTAACACCGCCTTGTGCGCATACAGCGTCGCCCACCCAAGAGGCAGGCCTGCCGCTTTCTCCGACAAACCTCTTCTTAGTGAACATTCCTGCTGCAGCGCCAGGCCCGCGCATCTCAACGCCACACTGTCGATTCTCCCCCTTGGATCTATCACACCCAGTCCCCCTTGCTCCCTTGGCGTGTATATCAGGTCCCCGCTCCAGAGTCTGAAGTGCCGTTCCGTATCAGCGTGGTTACCGGACACGAAGTTTTCAATCAGCTTTTCTACCCTGCGCCACAACAGGTCATCCGGTGGATACACCTGCGCTTGAAACAGGAAGATTGGAAGAACATAGCTGTTGATAACGGTCACGCGTGCTCCAGTCGTAAGATATTTAGTACTCCACTTGCTCAGCTCCCCTGCTGCTCTGTCAAAGGCCTTTTCCCAGGTTGCATCTGCTTCTCTCCCTGGTGAAATCCATACACCGAGAAGCCTCTCAAACTCATTTGCCCCCACCCACTTGTACTCCATGTCATCAGGTGCCTGCTGTCCCACGTTTCTCCCTATCGGCAGGACCGCAGATTTCCCCCTGTTCACCTTCAGCCCCGACACCTCCGCGTATTCTTGCAGCAGGACACCTGCATCCTTCAGTTGCTGCTCACCCTCCAGCACAAGGTCGTGTCGTCCGCGTACCCCACATAGGACAGCCGGTCGCAACTACCCTCCCCGATTCCCAGTTTTCTTCCCTCTGCGAGCCGGCACAAAGGCTCCACTGCGCACAGAAAAAGGTACGGCGCCAGTGGGCAACCCTGACGCACCCCCTTCTTCATCTCGATTTTCTCTCCCACCCAACCGTTAACACACAGCCTTGTGTGAACGTCGCTGTGCAGGGCCTCTATCCACCGTACAAATCTTGGCGGGAAACCCAGCTTGGCGACCGTTTCCACCATAAAGCCCCTGCGTACTGAATCGTACGCCTTCTCGAAGTCGATCAGAAGAAGGTACCAGTCACTGTTTTCGTTCCGGCCCGCCTCAATCATATCGGCTACCATCGACACCGCATCCGTTAACCTCCTCCCCGGTAAGAAACCGTACTGCTCTTTTGAAATCACCTGTCCCAGCACCGCCTTCATCCTCGTCGCTACCACCTTTGCCAGCAGTTTATACACCCCTGGAAGCAGTGTAATCGGCCTGTAATTCTTAATATCCGTCTCCGCACCTTTCTTGTACAGCAAAATTGTGACCGCCTCGTTTGCCACGTCTGGTAGCTTCCCTGTTGCAGTGAACTCTCCGATCATCTTCATCACTGGCTCCCGTAGCAGCTCCCAGTGCCGCTGGAAAAGCTCCTTGGGAAAGCCAACACGACCTGGTGATTTGTCGTTAGCCAACTCCTTGAGCGCCTGTTTGACCTCCTGCTCCGACCACTCCAGCGACAGGCTTGCTACGGCCGCTTCATCCAACGTGTTCCTCGGCAACCACTCCAGACTTGGCTCTGCAACACCTGCCGGTACCTCGTTGAACGCCTCTGTGAAGTGACAGGTAGCCGCTTCCAGTATATCCCGTGCGTCTGTGTGACTGACCCCATTTCTCACCAGCTCTTTTATCCCCGTCCTTGCCTTCCTACTCTTGACCAGCGCCGTCAGGAAACTTGTTGGCGCCTCCCCGTCCAGCTGCACTTTAAGCCCTGACCGTAGCTGCAACCAATTCCTCCTCCCGTCCCAGTATCTCTGCAGCATCGCTTCCCGGCTGGACAACAGAGCCTGCACCTCGTCATCGTACGGGTCAGCCATCACCTTGTGCTGTAGCTGCTCCACTTGCTCCTCAAGAACACCTCTCGTAAGCTTCACACGCTTCCTCTCCTCTTTGTCATATCTTCTCAGCTGCGCAGTTAAACTCCTCAGCAACTTGTCGAAACCGCCACTGCCGCCTTCACGGTGCTTTTTAACCACTTCCGCGACCACCTTCGCCACTCCTGGCCGACTCAGTAACTTTGCTGGGAACCGCCACAAACCCGGACCTGACTCACGTGGGCCTCTCCAACCGAGACTCATCCTCACCGCAAACTTATGATCCGTGATCCCCTTCGGTACCTTCTTGTGTCAAGATAGTAAGGACAGTGAGAAGCCATAGCTAGGGTTGACCTAGCTAGGCAAGCAAGAAATGAACAAAGGAGGGGTTGCACTAGTAAGAATGGGGATACAAATAGCAAACCCTAGAAGGGTTGTACTCGCTATAGAGCACCCCACTACAGGCTAGAGCATAATATTCTGACACACCCCCATAGCCAAAGTGGGGTGTAATCAGCAGAGCAAGCAAAGCAGTACAAGCCCAGGGTGGATCACAATGTCACCACACATTCTGAGCACAAGTTCAAGAAGCAATAGTTTAAAGTTCACAATTATGAGCAAAGCTAGTGGTAGTCACAACGGGCAAGTGAGGAGGAGGAAAGAGACTATGAGAGGAGAGGAGGTAGTGGGCGGCAGCTGAAGCTGCTGGCACACGGCGCAACTGGAGCAACTGGCACACGGGCAACTGGAGCAACTGGCACACTGGCAACTGGAGCAACTGGCACACGGGCTACTGGAGTAACTGGCTCCGCGGCTAAAAGTAGCGGCAGACGAGCAACGGACTCACGGGCGACTGGAGCAACGGGCTCACGGGCGACTGGCGCAACGGGCTCACGGGCGACTGGCGCAACGGTCTCACGGGCGACTGGAGCTGCTGGCTTCACGGCGGCCACCCCCTTCAACCTCCCCAAACTATCCCACTCCCCCTGACACACACCCGCTGCTACACCGCTAGCTCCACTCCCCCTTCACCCCCCCTTAGTACCACTCCAACGGCTCCAACAAGTCCACCCCCCCTCAGCGGCAGCTGCAGCACAGGGAGACGGAGGAGGAGGAGGAACAGGGAACGGCACTCAGTGGCTTCACCCCCATACCCCTCACCCCCAAACCCTAATTCAGGAGAACGGGCTGTAGGAGGGGTGGGGCGCCAGTAGAAGCACGGGGGACAGTGGGGAGGGCAGGGGCAGCGAGGAACGGGCCGCCCACGGGCCTGGCATAGCCGCCCGAACCGCGCGCAGGCGGCCCGAGCCGCGCGCGGGCCTGGCGCTTCCCGTACGGGCCGCGCGCGGGCCTGGCGCAGCCCGTACGGGCCGCGCGCGGGCCTGGCGCAGCCCGTACGGGCCGCGCGCGGGCCTGGCGCAGCCCGTACGGGCCGCGCGCCGGGTGTACGGGCCGCGCGCAGGCCACGACGGGCGACGGGGGGCGACGCGCGGGTCCCCGTCGCCCGTCGCAGCGCCTCCCGGGGGCGACGTGCCGAGTGACGGGGCAGGAACCCGTCGCGCGCCTCGGGGCACACGGCGGGCAGAGAACCGCCGCGCGCCTCGGGGCGCACGGCGGGCAGAAAACCGCCGCGCGCCTCGGGGCGCACGGCGGGCTGAAAACCCTAGTTTCAACGCCGCGCACCACGGGGCGCGCGGCGGACAGGGAGTAGCAGTAGCAGCGGAAGCAGTGAAGTGGGCCCACAGGCCACGAACGTTAAGCTCTGATACCATGTCAAGATAGTAAGGACAGTGAGAAGCCATAGCTAGGGTTGACCTAGCTAGGCAAGCAAGAAATGAACAAAGGAGGGGTTGCACTAGTAAGAATGGGGATACAAATAGCAAACCCTAGAAGGGTTGTACTCGCTATAGAGCACCCCACTACAGGCTAGAGCATAATATTCTGACATCTTGTGCTTCACCCCCGTCACCAGATGCAGCATGGACTGGGACACTAGCACCCTGTCAATTCTCGAGCTGACTTTCGCCGACTTGCAGTAAAACGTGAACTGCCTCTCATCCGGGAACAGCTCCCGAAACACGTCCTTCGCGTGAAAACCCTGGAAATTGTCACCCTGGGTGGGGAGCATGATTTCGCGAAGAACTGTGCGAATACAATATACTGTAACACGATGGATCTATCCTGCTTGCTTTAGTAGTACAGAGCTACATCTGATTGGATACGACATGTTGCGACCCACCCGGGTCGGGTCGACCAACCCCCGATCCCAAATTTCTAGGAAGCCCGCACTGCCGACCTACCCGACCAGGTCGACCCGACCCAACCCAACCCGGGTTGGGTCGACCGGGGTCAATCCGGGTCGACCAGGCCGACCAAAACCAACCCAGCCGAGCTGGAGCAGGTTACCGGAGCCTGCGAAATCTGTGGTTCTCGTGCGGATGTCGCTTGTATCTCGTTTAACAAAAAGATACCCGGTAATATCGCCAAACATTGCCTCGCCCACCTTCCACCTGCGGAGCACTTGCTTTCTCTTTACTTCGAATTTGCAGAGAAGGCAACGGGAAATTCTTTGATTTCTCGAGTCGCCTTGCTGTTTGGTCGGGTCGGGTCGACCCAACCCGACCCAACCCGGGCGGGTCGCAACACGTCGTAATAACATACTGTACGCGAATTCGATACCGAACGTCATTATTCGTTCCCGCTGTCGCATTTCCACTGATGTACGATTTCAAGATAGGGTCCCCAAGTTCAATCCTGCATATCCGAATCGCCGTACCCGCCGTTCCCGGCGCGAGAATTTTGCTCAAATCCGCGGAATGCAGTTTGCTTTATTATCGCCACATGGCAACACTACGATCGCGAGAAGCGCGATCTGTTTTATTTTCCCCACACTTGAAATGTGAAATCTCGTTAAGTTCAGTGGGTTCCATGTACTGGGCCGAGTTCGAAACTTTTTCGAGGGGAACCAAACCTATAGTTTGAACGGTTTTTGTCTCGTGCAACTTACCAGATGTGATCCGAAACGACTGTTCAGATTCGCCAACTCACATCTACAGCAAACGCGCGTTACGCACAGTACTATTTCCCCCGATCTCGTTTGCAAATGGTGACGCAGGCAGTGCATTCGAGTCAACAAGCTGACCGTGGGCAAGAAATAAACTAAAACCCACTCGGTCGGAAGGCATGCCATCCGAGGGAGCCTCAACCCTAAAATTTTAGGGTTGAGGCTCCCGAATGGCATGCCGTAAGCCATGGGTTTTATTTGTTTTGCCCGCGGGAGTGATTTGATGCTGTCCACAAAACAGTATTACTATTCAATTGCACCACTTGCTCGCGTGCCATCGAACCTATATGTATGAATGTTGCAGATTTGTCCTTCTAGAACTCTAAAATTTTTTGGCGGTCATCGCAAAACAGAGAAAAAGTATCAAAACATTTCAAGTGTGGGAAAAATAAAAGAGATCGCGCTTCTCGCGATCGTTGTGCTGCCACGTGGCGATAATAAAGCAAGCCGCGATTCCGCGGATTTGAGCAAAACTCTCTCCCGGCGCATCTTCGCTTGAATTCATCGTCTACTCTCTCTCTCTCTCTCTCTCTCTCTCTCTCTCTCTCTCTCTCTCTCTCTCTCTCTCTCTCTCTCTCTCTCTCTCTCTCTCTCTCTCTCTCTCTCTCTCTCTCTCGCGCGCACGGCGCAGATCCAAAGCCTGCCCTCAATCCATGCGACGCGCCAGCCTAGAGTGTTGCCGTTCTCTCGGTCTACTGCGGGGTTTGCTTTCTGTTATTCTTGAGTTACGCTACGCACTTCGCATTAGTCACGTTGTAAACATCACGGCTCACAACGGTTCACCGAGTCACTGTACAGTTGCCCAGACAGAAAGCGTTTATGCTTTGTCAGCGATTATGATTCGTAAGCGTTTATGCTTCGTAAGCGGTCATGCCCTCCAATTCGGACCGCTTCTCTTGTTCCCACGAGAGCCTTCGCCTCGTCTCAGGGTTTGCTAATCAGAAAACAAATACCCGTTATTAGCAGCACCGCTTGCCATTCAGCGCCATCACTGCTCGCCGCGATATCCTGCGAAACCATCTCGCGCGTTACATGGTGCATCAAAGGAAGGCACATTAGAAGACGACGCAAGGGGACGGTGCTTCAAGGGACGGTCAGGGGACGGCGCGTACGGTGCTTCAGGGGACGGCGTGTCAGGGGACGGCGCGTCAGCGCTTCAGGGGACGGCGCGTCAGGGGACATGGGGACGGGGACGGTCCAGCAGACGACGTACAGCCTGGCAACGCCGCATAGCTACCTGCGCATTACCATGTGAGCGAGAGGGCACAGCTACCTGCGCATTACCATGTGAGCGAGAGGGCACAGCTACCTGCGCATTACCATGTGAGCGAGAGGGCACAGCTACCTGCGCATTACCATGTGAGCGAGAGGGCACAGCTACCTGCGCATTACCATGTGAGCGAGAGGGCACAGCTACCTGCGCATTACCATGTGAGCGAGAGTGCACAGCTACCTGCGCATTACCATGTGAGCGAGAGGGCACAGCTACCAGCGCATTACCGAGCGAGAGGGCACAACTACCTGCGCATTACCATGTGAGCGAGAGGGCACAGCTACCTCCATCTCTTCTTGCCTTCTGTGCCTTCCCGAAACTTTCCTGTGTCTGCGGCCCAACCGGGTTGGGCAACCGTGCTGCCTTGTCCCGTCATCTGTCAGTCATCTCGTGGCTTCTTCTTCTTTCTTCACGTTTGCCCCTCGAGGTGACTTTTGAGTCGACTCAAAAGTCACCTCCTTCCCGAAACTTTCCTGTGTCTTCGCTGCGGCCCAACCGGGCTGGACAGCCGCCTTGTCCCGTCATCTGTCAGTCAGTCATCCCGTGGCTTCTTTTTCTTTCTGCACGTTTGCCTCTCCGACTGTGTCTCTCAGATCTGTGAACGTGAACCGC